TACATTCAAACACAAACACTGCATAGTGCTAAATAGAACACTGCAAGGATGTGCAAACCGTAGATCCCGACCTGGCAAAGCATTGTGAGAGTTGTATGACATAGGGGGATATACCTTATGGCCGCCATGGGATGGGGCAGGGCAAATACATTCTTGCACCAGTGCCCTCTCTACTTTAGCTCCGTCACTGACTGTACTACTGGGGAAAGGAAAAGAATGTATGGAAAAAATAAGGGGGGGTGGGGGTTATTTAATAAAGTTATAAGTGAGTGGGTGGATTTGATGAGATAGACAGAAAGTGGGGGATATAGAAAAAGTTGAAGTGGAGAGGGATAATGAGAGGCGGGAGGCAGAATGTGAGGGGGAGAATATAGAGAAAGGTGAAGGTGTGGGGGGTGAATATAGAAAAGAATAAAGAATATATAAGAGTAGGTTGAATGTGAGTGAGAGTGTATGAGAAAAGGGACAGTAGGTGGAGGAGAATATAAGGAGAGGGACAGAAGGTGATGGGATAATATGTGTAGAAAGACAGAAGATAGGGAATAGAATCTGAAGAGGAGGACACCTCTGGAGAAAGGAACACAGAGGAGAAGTTCACTAGTAGGGAGTAATAGCATTTCTATAAATAATGACATAATATGAGAATTCTGTTGCGATGGAGCTCTGTTACGTATTGTGAGTATTACATTAATGAGTCCCACAGCAATGAGCATGCACACAGTGTCTTCACTAAACTCTGTAGTGTAGCAAATTGAAAACAGAATTGCTAAAATATCGAAGCTGCAACGATAGCGCTGTTGAAGTATTTTTTCAAATCAGCAGTTTGTTTTAAATCTGAAATTCACATTTCAATTTTCTACGATTTGGAGTAACTCTGAAAGTGTGCATTAGAGAGCGTGTGCATGGTTTGTTTGTTTTGTTTTTTCCCAGTGCTCCTCCTGAGATTAGGGTCTGGATCGGCCTCTGAACAGAATGACTAAAGGTCTACGAAGTAACTAGAGATAAGTATAGACATTAACCTCACTTGTTGTGGCTGAGCATATTAGGCAATGATCTCATATACATGTGCGGCTACACAGCCCTATACGTAGCAAACTGTGATGCACTGTTTGTTCTGACAACTTTCTACCATGGCCAGAATTAAGTATTTCAGCTACATTAGATCTTCTGTGTGCTGGGACCAGACGAGCTAGCCTTTGCTCCCCACTTGCATTAATGAGCCGTGGATGCCCATATCCCTGACGCCGGATCACCGGTTGTCCTTTCTTGCACCAATCTTTGGTAGGTACTAAACACTGCATACTGGGAACACCCAACAAGACTTGTCATTTTGGATATGCTCTGACCCAGCCGTTTAGTTTTCATTATTTGGTCCTCGTCAAAGTCACTCAGATCTTTTCACTTGCACATTTTTCCTGCTTCTAACATGAAATGAAAGTACTGACTGTTGACTTACTGCTTAATGTATCCCACCACTTGGCAGGTGCCATTGTCATGATATAATCAATGTTATTCACTTCACTTGTCAGCGGTTTTGATGTTGTGGTTGGTCAGTATAAATGCCCGTTTAAACAGCTCATCTATCAGTCTGGTTACACTAGAAATGAACGGTTGATACTCGGGACTCCGCTGTGTGAGAAGGGATTTATTGCAGAATTACGTCTACCTTAACATTAACCCTACCATTTCCCTAACCAAAACCCTAAGGAAATCCTCTACTAATATTAGTACTGATATCAGCAGATGAGTTTCCTAGTTAATACATTAGAGAGTGGTATGTTGCTGTCATCTACAGGCATTTCAATTACACTGTGATTCGTGCTGGGCTCCGCCCAGTTGGCACGGGGATGTTCTGGGGGACCCTGTCACAATTTGTCCAGATCCTGGGAGTCTCTTTTGGCCATCTGCCACAAGAAGCACCACTTTCAGCGCTGCATACAGCTTTAAATGTGCCCCAGCTCACAGAGGGGAGCCACAGGTACTGATTGATATTTGTGACTACCTGGTGTGAGTAGAGATTTAAATCCCTGATGACAGCATTGCAGAAATAGGTATTTAAATGCCTATTTAAATAACTATAGCAACTCTGAGTGCTGCATGCAGCGCATCTGCCAGTCTGGGGCCACTAAAAATGGCCTAGCTGACAGGGAGGAACAACAGATTTCGATTGATACCTAGGTGTCCTGGTGTGAGCAGGGATTTAACCCTGCTCAAACCGCTTTGCAGTCAATGAGAATTTAAAGAGCTTTATACAGTGCTCACTTTGAAGTCTGCATACAGCTCATGTGTCAGTCTTGGGCCACTAAAAATTGCCCCAGCTAACAGGAAGGAGCCCCAGGCATTGATTTATACCTTGTACTCTTTGGTCTGAGCAAGAATTTAATCTTGCTCACACGTTAAAATGTTAGGATGTCGTGAGGGTCAAGCCTTAGTCTTAACCAAAAGTACCCGAGTACCAAAGTGTTTCTGTTGAAGCATTGCATCTTTTTGTGCCAATGAAGGGATCTCTTTTCACATCAAGGAATGCAGGAAGTCTATGTTGTTTTGTATACCCACATGTGGTATGGCAGAGGTTAAAGTCTTCCTTAGTCATGGCAATTTATTCAATTGTTCAGCCAATCACAACCACCCATTGCTGCACAGGCTAATGTGTTCTCATTATCCCAAATAGCACAGAAGGTAAGGGCTGTTGGGAACTCTCACTAAGTTAAAACGCTCAAAATGGTGTAAAGCTGAATGGAGAGACAGCACCAGGGGACTCCACAGACTATACCCACTTCGGTGACATGAACATATTAAAGAGCCTAGAGTGTCCCTCTAAGTGTGCATTTGATTACAGAACCTAGAGTGTCCCTCTAAGTGTGCATTTGATTACAGAACCTAGAGTGTCCCTCTAAGTGTGCATTTGATTACAGAACCTAGAGTGCCTCTCTAAGTGTGCTTTTGAGATAAATCTAGTCAGGGACTCTATCATACCCATTTAAATGCTCTTAATGAATAACACAGACAACTTGCAATAAAATTGAATTTTATTAGATAAGCCAATTCAAAAGATTTTTCACTTAAATATAGGTTAGTAACACAACGGACTTGTTAAGGAGACTGACACTTCTAAAGCAAGAGGAAACACTCAAATACCACCTTGCATCATAACCCCAGAAATGTGTAGCTAATACAGAAGGCCGATACTATAATATCTCGTGCTTTATAAATTTATTAGTGACAGTGGCTTTAGCACAATTCAGGGTGCAGTAGTAAACGGTGTAATACATCAGTTTTAGTTTTAAATAAATCTTTACTATCGGTGATCAGAAAGGCACTTTGTGTATCAGAGGTTAAAAAAGAAATTTTGTGTGATTAAACATCACAAATAACTCCTGGCACAGTGGGGTAAGGATTTTCATTTATTGGAATGTTAGCCAATGCGGAAAATAAAAATTAAAAATGCTTTTTTTCCCACAATTTTATAAAAATGTCAAAGACCTCTAAGGCAGTCCACATACTGCATACATTTTCACTGGCCTTCTCCAGCCCCTTTATTTTGTGATGTGAAAACTGAAGATGAATCAAGCCATGTAAAATGCCCTAGTCTTTGTTAAATATAACTCAAACTATGGACAGCTAAAGATTTGTGCCCTCAAATGCATATTTTCTTTTTGTGTTTTGAGCATGAAGTGTCAAATTGCTGCCACTGTGAAATGTGTTGGGGCTTTCTCTGAATCTAGTAGGTCTTCATAGTCTTGGGAATAACTTGACCTTCTGCCATGGGTCTGTGTTCTTGTAGTCTATCATTTGGACTTCAATGATGAGCATGTGTGTTCTAATGTTCACTCTTCATTGCCAGAGCAGCTTGCAACACTTTGTTACAGGCTTCTCTGGAACTAAAGAGTATAAATTATTTTCTACAAGTGAGGATTCCAAAAGCAGGTGATGTGATAGGGAGTAAAACTACTCGCTAGCTTTTGTTCCGTTGTAATCTGCGTCCCGTATTTCGGCATCCTCTTCAGACCCATCCGCTGTGTTATCTACTGCTCTCCTGCCCCCTGTTGATCGCCGTGCGGGCGCAAAAGAAGATGGTTCATTCCCCCGTCTAAAGAAAGTTAAACAGTAGTTAGAGGACATACATCTGGAGTTGCTAATAATTACACATAATCTAACAGAGCTTTCGGTATTGCTGCACAACAGAGCAGAGCATGATTTATCTACACCGTTTAACCAGCAATTGGTGTAAATATTTAAAGGTGTCAGATTTTCGTAGGTTCCCATTTCACTGATAACTTCACTGAGAAAACAGCTATTCTAAGACACATTGTATGTAAACTTTGTGAGATAAGGAGTGCTGTACCACTGAGTTCCCTGTCCTGTTGAGAAGACTATGGTTTAGCCTAAACTAGTATGTAACAATTGTTTCACTACTTATATAATTTCCAAGCTGTACAACTGAATGGTTAGTGCTAAGGCCTCTAGCACTGAGATGGTGAAACATCTCCCCTTTTTTCTTTATCAATGCATGGAAAACAAGATCCCTTTAAGGGCAACTGGACACATACAGAAAATTAAATTATCTATGTAAAAAAAAAATGAATACATGTTTTCTATAGGTGCATCCTACATGTGAGAATTCATAGGGCACTTTGACTTCTAGAAGTATTTTTGACTGCATACAAGTCTTGGTTACAAGTATGTTGATTCAGTAGCCTTAGTATATTTCTTTATGATGTTAAAATGATCATTGTGTAGTCTAGTGGTTGAATGTAATTCTGCTGATCTGGCTAACTCCTCATGATCACTACACTCTGATATGTTTTGGAGGCCAAAACGAGTCATTTCACAGCCAGACAAGTGTTTATTCATAAGTAAAACATGGAATCAAAGCTCTGAGAACTGATACAGATTAGTGAAAACAAACACTAATACATTGGTGCAGTAAATAAAATGTTTAACCTTGGTATGCACCGTATGTTACCAGTGATCAAGGAAACACTAATTCGATTTCTGACAATAGTTCCTTTAAATATCACTTTCTTGAGCAGAACAATCATTACCAGAGTACATTTTACAGACATGACAAGATTACCCTACAGTAATGAAAAAAGGCACAGATGTGGTTAGTGTACAGTAGATATTTTGGGGTTGTGATAGTAGATTGTATGAAAGGTACAGTGTTCTGCATGCGTTTTCTGTATTAATATTGTCTTTGAGTTACTGGGTAGACCATGCAAAGATATTTCTGATGCAGTTAATAAAATGCAATATTATTGGCCTGTTACTAAAACCGTACGTGATATTAGAGATTTGTATATTTTATATGCCTGTGAAATCTACTAGACAACTGCAAAATATAACTGAGTTACTTGTTCGGGTTTTCCAGAATATGATGCATACTTGCCAATTCTGACAAGTATAAAGTTTGGACATAAGGGGGCAGCTGGGCATTGAGCCAGTTTAGGGACATGTCAATGATAAATTACATCATTAATGACCCTTATGACTTCAACCCCTTGGACCTCCTTGAGAGCCAGCAAATATGATAAGTATACATGGCTGAAATAAGACTTGCAGTTCTGTTTTTTAAATTATGCCTAGAACAAACAGAATCACAGGGCAGAAATACTAAAGTTTGAGCGCTTCCTTGGCTCGATTTTGCAGTTCTCCAGCTTGGCCCATAAATATAGAATTTTTATCATAAGAATTTTTTTGTGGCTCTCAAATGATGTAATTTATTTGTTTAGGCTGTGCAATTAAATGCTAATTTACAAATTCTACATGCATAACATCTGAATGTTATCTTTCTCATTTGCCTACAGATAAAAAGAGCATTTTTTTTCAACTGTAGAGCTGCATTCTGTTATAAGAGTTTAGAATATATCTGGTAAATGTAAATGAATCACAATTTTCCACAAGGGTCAACAGGAAAACAGGAGATTCCGTAAATAGAGTTATGTTCATTTGTGGTAAAATAATCCAGCACTTAATCTACTAATCTAGTGAGACTTGATCCCTTTTAGGGTACTCCTCTCGTCTGTTCAAAACTAATCCAGCACTTAGTCCATAAAGGCTGTAATCCTGCATACCTTTTACTGTTTCTATAAAGAAATGATTAGCAATCTGTAACTAAGTGTAGTAATTAGCAAAGTGAAAATCTCAATTTCTTACAGCCTTCAAAAACAAGAACCTTAAATGAATTATTCCACCATCGAAGAAGAACCGCTGTGTGTATGTGGATACATTTACAGAGAGAAAGGTGGAATAACATGTTAAAACAGGTTTATTGTCTCGTTTCCATTGATATATACAGATAAACTGCACATGTTATAGTGATCTCTCTAAAACAGATGAGTGTGGTGACAACAAATATTCATTATATGTTTATAAAGGGGGGTGGCGTTGACAAACAGGGTTATGCACTAAATTGTGAATTGTCAGGAATTCAGAGCAAAGTTTAGACCAAAATAATCAGATTGGGGGAAAAAAAAATCTAAGTCAGCTATGTTTTTAATTCAGTTATTTTTGTTTAAAAAATAATAGTGAATTCCCAAAAATTCATGGTTTTGTGAATGACCCTGCGAGTATTATGGTTTTCCGCTCCGTGTTTTTGTAAATGAAATGATTGCGACTTAATTTTCATGCATAACTTATTAGACATTCCACTTTTTGGATGAGAGTTTGTCATGTGTAGGGTAAAGTTAGTTATGTGCATTTTTCCCATCTTGGTTCTGAAAAGTGAAAATCGTTAGTTTTCGTCATTAAAATATCCGTTTGGTAGATTAGATATGTATTAATATAAGGATGTCCAAGCCTTCAGATTTTGCAGGAAGAAGGTGAATAGTTAAAAAAGCATTGTATGTTCCCCAAATCCATTTGTATCCTTTTTTATTTGAGAAAATCTATTTTTTTTTGTTTTTAAATGTTTTCATTTTCATCAAGTTGTATTTTTTTTTTGTCAACTATAGTAATTAAAAGAAAAGCTGTATATCAGACAAATTTGTGTTAAACATACAATGCTTATTTAATAAGCTATAAGGGGAGCCTGGAATAATTGGGAGAATGGAGTAGCTGCAAAATTGAAGGCGTGGGTACCTGCTTAGTCATTGCGTTGTATCCTGTGTCCCTCTGAAATAGAAAGATTCTGCAGCTGTTATATTTTGCTCACAGAAATAAGTTATTATATATATAATATATATATATAATATTAGAGAACAGCAAAAAAGGTTCATTTTATAAAATGTGGAATTCTTTGGGAGATATACAGTACTGGACATCATCATAATTAAAAAAAAAAAAAAAAAGTGCCTTGCAGATATATTGCACCCATTTTAATGTACAAATGACTATTTTTGGTGTAGAGATAGAATCTGAGTGGCTGTATCGCCCTTTAGTTAACAATGCTTTTGATAGGCAGTGCAGCACAGATTTTGATAAAATGAAATAAAAAGCATAGCTTCAGGGCTGTGCTGCATTAAATAAAAACTAATGATTGCCTATTATATTTTAATGGTTACATTCCTCAAGTATACGCAGGGCCGGATTAACATCATGAGCACCTATACGCCTTTAAAAAAAAAAAAAAAAACCCCAAACATGACTAAATATGATAAAAATTGTTACATATATGTACACATATATAGTGTGTGTGTGTGTGTGTGTAAGTATATGTATGTGTAGTTGTGTGTGTATGTCTGATGGCATGTCTGTGTTTTTGTGTACAGTAACTGTGCTGAAGTGTGTGTTTGCAACACTTTGAGCAGCACTATGTGTAGCAGTATACGTGTGTGTAGGAGCATGTGTAGTAGTGTCTGTATTGTCGGTAGCAGGATATATGTATGTAAATGTGTTTAAAATTGTTGCATATATGTACATGTACATATAGTGTGTGTAGGTATATGTATGTGTAGCATATGTAGTTGTGTGTCTGATGGCATGTCTATGTGTATCAGTGTGTTTGTGCAGCATGTGTAGCAGTATATGTGTGTGAAGCAGCATGTGTAGTAGTGTGTGTGACGTTGCCCTCTCATACCCCCTTCTTGAGTTTCTGAGGACCCAAGTTGGAAGGTATGTTATAATGTGGGTAGTAGTATGTGCAGCAATGTGCATTTGCGTGTGTAGTGTGGGTAGCAGGATGTGTAGCAATGTGTGTGTGTGTATAATGTGGGTAACAGTATGTGTAGCAATGTGTATTTGTGTGTGTGTGTAATGTGGGTAGCAGTATGTGTAGCAATGTGTATTTGTGTGTTTAGTGTGGATAGCAGTATGTGTAGTAATGTATATTTGTTTTTGTGTGTGTGTGTGTAATGTGGTAGCAGGATGTGTGGCAATGTGTATTTGTGTGTGTGGTGTGGGTAGCAGTATGTGTAGCAATGTGTATTTGTAGTGTGGGTACCAGTATGTGTAGCAATGTGTATTTGTGTGTGTGTAGTGTGGATAGCAGTATGTGTAGCAATGTGTATTTGTAGTGTGGGTAGCAGTATGTGTAGCAATGTGTATTTGTGTGTGTGTGTAGTGTGAGTAGCAGTATGTGTAGCAATGTGTATTTGTGTGTGTGTGCGTGTGTGTGTGCGCGTGTGAGTGTGTGTGTGTAGGATGGGTAGCAGTATGTGTAGCAATGTGTATTTGTAGTGTGGGTAGCAGTATGTGTAGCAATGTGTATTTGTGTGTGTGTAGTGTGGATAGCAGTATGTGTAGCAATGTGTATTTGTAGTGTGGGTAGCAGTATGTGTAGCAATGTGTATTTGTGTGTGTGTGTAGTGTGAGTAGCAGTATGTGTAGCAATGTGTATTTGTGTGTGTGTGCGTGCGTGTGTGTGTGTGTGTAGGATGGGTAGCAGTATGTGTAGCAATGTGTATTTGTATGTGTATATGTATATATTAAGGCCCCAGTTCTCTCCTCTCTCCCTACTGGAGATCACTGTGTTTAATCTAATGGCAATGCACAAACCAGGCTCCCTCAGCATGTACCGCAGGCAGAATAGGCGCCTCCATCAGGCATGTGTCTATAGGCAGGTGCTTACTCTGCTTAATGGGAAATCCGGCCCTAAGTATACTTTTTGTAAACCTGATCAAATAAATCAGCAACGCATCCCATTATTTGTAATTTATTGTTTAGTTTTGTTATGCTATGCCAGCTATCACAAAACATTGCTGTGTTTTTTCTGTACTTTGATTTTTATTTCACTAAAGTGAAAATTGTCAGAAATTGTCAGTGAAATCCAATTTTTAGGCCAAAACAGTAAAAAAAAAAAAGTGCATTTTTCCAATTTCTGTTCTTTTGTTCTATAATTCAGTTTTAATTCACTTTTAATTCTTTACAAGGCACACGTTAGTAAATAATCCTGCTAGTGTGTTTTGGTCATTGGGTACTAACTATGAAGCTTAAAAGAGAAAACAAACTCTTAAAGGCCATGTTTAATCTGTAAAAATAGGTCATTTGGCAAGTGCAACTACAAGAAAAAAAAGAACTGCCATTACATAACATAATCTTTTGTCTGATTTGTTTGACTTGAACCCTTCACTTGTACTAAATTTAATGACATTTACTATATAAGGAAAAAAATTACAACACTCTGGATAACTATTTGGCAGCAATTGCTGGCACACAAGAATCCCATGATAGTGTGTTCTAATAAGGCATTTGAAGTGGTAAAATTGGGGAACAATAAACAAGAATGACCTCAAGAGCTCTGCAGTTACTGTTAAAAAAAAAAATCTAATTTAGAAATTTCTTGGTCCTAATTTCCTTTCCCACGTTTACAATGATTTATTTTTTAGTGGGGTTAAGGAGGGATGTTTTATACTCTGTGGAAATAACCAAATTCAAACAATAATTAGTATTAAAATTGGTATATGTGTTTTGTTTTTTAGATGTACAGATGCCACATACCAAATTGTAAAGACTAACAAAATACAGATAATTGAGTAAATATATATATTTTGCAATGATATACATACATCATTGAAAATGCAGGAATTTAGTCATAAAGTGCATTCATTAGTGTATTCCTTTTTTCCAATTCCATATTGATAGCCACATGACCTTCAAGTGTTCTGATCTACTTCAGAATTGTCTATTCCTTTTTTTGAACTAAGATATTAAATTATCATATTTTATATATTTTCCTAATGATGTCTCCATTTTCACTAAAATGATCTGTAATTCCTACATTGATTTATCCATTAATCGCCATTTCAAATGAAAGAGGTTTCACATGTTCTCCTTCACTTAAACATT